AGAGATGTTTGAGAGAGGACCACATTGTTGGTGATACGGTCCTCCTAACTGCTGTAAAGGATTCTTCAGAGCTGGAGGGAGACAACATCTGGAGAGAAGTGCTTACATTATCTTCTCTGGGATGAGATCCAAATAATACATCTCTAGCAAACAGTTTTTAAATTTAAGAAAGTAATATCCATTAACAGATAATTGTCAGTGAAGATCATGTGAATTTCTTTTTTTTTTCTTCTCAGGAAACTGGTGCCTCTCTTTTCATTAGAGATTGTAGACCTGAAAGAAAGCTGTTATTGTAGCTTGGTTCTATAGTTGTGTACTCCTAGTTATGAAAGGATATGTGGTCAGCCTTTTTGTAAAGTCTCTTCCATTATTGTATGATTTCTGCATCGGCTATAGGGTGGATTCATGGAAACATTTTGATTCTGACAAAAGCAACCTAAAAGTGAGTGAGTTCAATAGTCCAAACAACTGTTACTACTGAATGCAGTTTGCAAGCCAAACTATACCTTGATATTCAGTAATTGAATTATTTCATCAAACAGTGGTCATAGATGAAGTATCTAATTGTTTTAGCTTCCCATTTGCATTAATTCATATTCTCCTTATACAAAATTCCTTTTTCATCAGAATGTAAAATAGAAATTTCATTTGCTTCCAAATGTCATTTTAATTGTTCTTGAGTTAAAAAAAAAAAAAAAAAATTGAACCCATTTTAATAAAGTAGAAAACATGTTTAAATTTGAACTTTTTAATCATTTTACACTACAGCCATTGGCCATTTTGCTTTTTCAATAGAAATCAGATCAAAATTTTTGGAACCAAAATCTTAATGTTCATTTTGTATTCTTTATTACAGCAAGAATTTATATCTGGTTAAAATGTAGACATGATACCTTGCTGACATGTTTTATATATTTTCAACAACAATTAAAAAAAAAATCTTTACTAAATAATAAATTATTTCAAAATAAAATATCTATGAAAAAAGGTCAACATGAAAGCAAAATTGTCAATTTTCTGTGATAATAATAAAAGGAAAAAAATAACAAAACACTGAATAAAAGAAGTGAAGAAACTTTATTATTTAAGCTAAAAGTATCAGCAAAATTAGTGCATTATTTGACATATTCCCAATGACTAATAGCTTTAAAAGGATAAATTGGGTGTGTACAATGGCTGGCAGTGGCTCAGGAGAAACTGACTTTCACACAATGGCCATTTTATCACAGAATTTGATCCAGATGACAAGAAATCCACACTAAAAGGCCTGTCCAATGTTTTCAACAAATGTAGTCTAAATTACACTACAATCATGATTCTAGTTTAACCTGTAACTATTATACAAAATAAGGCTCAGAAGCCTTTTTAGTTTTAAATTAGATAATAAAACTGCATAAATTTTATTGTTACTGGTGTTAACAGGTTTAGAAAAAAAAATGTTTACTTGATGGCAGTCATAGCCTATTTTGTACAGCATGTTGCAGATACAAAATAAGTTTTGCAAATCTCTAAGATAAATATAAAGACATGTATATGCAATGCAAGGCTAGCAGCCATTTGTGAATACTTCCAACAGTTAGACAAATTTATTTAAAACTTAAAGAATATAAATTTAAAATTTAGACACCGGTAACAGTATAAGGCAATTAACATAAAATTCTGATGCCTTTTAAAATCTGACACAGGAAAAGAACAAAGTAGAAAAATAATCAGGTTCTTCATACAGTCTCTTCTAAAAATGTTTCCATTTGTGGCCCCAATACAAAGAAATTTTCCACAATGTGAACTGACAATGATCACTTCATCTTAAAAATAAATAAACACAATGATTTAATATTTTGGCCCAAAATTTTAAATATCTAATTTTTCTCAACTGTATTGAAGATAAATTTGGACAATGATTTCTAAAATAAAAGTAAAATGTCTCTCCAGGGATTCCTAAAGCAATCATAGAAATAGAATATTTTCAGATGTGCTAAGAAATTTAAAAAAAAAAAAAAAAAATGAATGTTATTTAATTTCAAAATACACAACCACAGAAATAGTTTTCTATTTTTAGAAATTATTCTCTAAACAAAAATGTTACTTCTATAGTCAAAACATTATATATATAAATAAAATTTTTTATTTTTTCAATTTAGTCAAATCTAATGTTAAAAGAAAGAAGCCAGGACCCAACTTAAGTACTAACCAAGAGAGTTAAGAGAAAAAGAAATATATAATCAATAAATGCTGCTGCTATATTCAATAAGCAAATGGCTGGGCCTAGAGTTTCTTGATTGAAACTACTTATTTTGTAAAGACCACAAACTCATGAAACCGATTATGAATAATGGAAATTTCAGAAATTTAAAAATGGAAAAAGCCAATTTAAAAAAAAAAAAATTAAAAAAAAAGGAAACTCTTTAAACCACTGGATATAGTTTATAGAAATTTACAGATATTTTTGTAAATGAAATAATATGCTTTGCCCAAAACCCCCCACCCCACAATGTCATCTACTACTCAATCAAGTTTACCCCCCCATGCCCATTTCCTGATTTTTGTCCCAAAAGAGTATAAAAGATTGCAAATATACAGAATATATAAAAATAAAAATTAAAAAGAAGTGAGAAAGAAAAAATTCTGTGAAGTGAAATGCTATGGCAGTTCACTTTCATTTTTTTTTTTTTTTTTCCTTTAAGGACCTATGTTAGTCATAGTCTCAAGCAAAATCCTCTAGCGTAGCAGAAAATTTCAATAGAAAGACATTGGCATGACTAAAAGCAGCACACAACTAGAGACTCACATCAAAGCCCATGTCAGTCATCAAATTCTTACAAAGATGTCCCAGCCATCACCAAATAAGTTAATTTCAATTTTTTTTTTTAATTCTTTATTATTGTATTTACATTGCATATTTCCACAAAAACAGTCCAAAAAGTTTTTTTTTTTTAAATACACTTGTGTTTGTATTAAAGTTTTAAAATAGAAATCTTAATTTATGATCAAAAGATGAAAATATATAAAAAGATTTTTAATTTTTAAACTTTATAATATTCATGTATATAAAGAGTTATAAGTGTATCATTACATTGTTTCTTCAGGAATAATTTCCAAAAATGCTTATAGTTAGTTTGTAATCGGTAATTAATCCACTCTATTCAAAAAATATAATTTATTTTACAGTATATTTGGTATTTGTGTGAAATGGTTGCGGTGAGTATAAAGCCTCTCCATGTGTTTGTAGGTCACAACACAATTTATTCAAGAGCACACAAGAATGCATAAGTTGATTTGTATAGCTGAAAAGAACTTCAACCCACCTGTTATTTGCATCAAAGACACTCTTTAAAAGGGAATTTTTAATTAGTTTTTCCAGTAGATAGCATAAAAAAAAAGAAATTAACATCATAAAATCAAATTTATCAGATAAGAGCACAGAAATTTATGAATTTTTTTAAAATTTTTTACAAAAATGTAAAAGTGAACATAGTATAAAAACAAATGTAAATTTATATGAGAGGTTTACTAGGATTTGATTCATTTTGAAGGAACACAAGAGGGATAACATTCATTATGTCAAAGGCCTTTTATATCAAACATGTGGAACTCTTATTTAACTAAGCAATTTAATAAATAGTTAGTAAATATTTGTGTTGTTAAGAGGTTATCTGTTCTTATTTCTAGAACACAAGAAATATAAATGATTAAAACGATGGTGAATGTAGTTGCGAGTAAATTAGTAGATATTAGTTTGTGTTAAATGACATTTTTTGTGTGTGCTTAGCATAGCAATATATATATTATTAGTAGTAGTAGTAATCTTATAAGTATAAGAAATTATACTCATTCAGAAAACCTTCAGTGTTTTGATTTGCAAATAATCAAACCAATACCAAAGGGGAGAAGAAGAAAAAAAGAAAGACCCAAGAACATGTATAATCATCTAGCATGCAAGTCCAAAGAAAGAAACCCCGATATGAGTAGACAAAATAACTAAATAAAGTGCTCAATATAGTAAGTAGAGCAGACTTAGTTAAACCTAGAGAGCCAGACAAACCTACCAAGTTTTCACCTAAGCAGATCGTCAGGGAAGGCTTAGGCTTCCTGATGATCCACTTAGGTGAAACCTTGGTAGGTTTGTCTGGCTCTCTAGGTTTAACTAGATTTTTATATATATATATATATATATATATATATATATATATATAAAAAAGAGAAACATATGTTGACCCTTGTATATTTTCCTATTTTGGGACAATTGAAGTAAAGTAACAGTGAAGCTAGTTTTTCAGACTATTTAAAAGTTAATTTTACTGTTGTATACCTGGTTCCATTGAAAAAGTAGTTAGTTATACTGATAATTATATATTTAAACTAAAATAATTATTATCTAAGATTTCAAAGTAGTACTTTGCAACATTTTATCTAGACAGGAATTCTGTTTTACAAATGAAGTTCAAATTGTAGTTTCAAATAAATATTTCATGTAAAATTAACAATGAATATGATTACTTACATACAAAGTTATTTTAGAGTAGCTGTTGAATTATTCTGAACATCATCCTTAATTTTGCTTCTAACACATATCTGCTGGATATAATAGTTTCTACTAATAAATGTCATCATCATCTTAGCTATACATATGACCCTTAATTATTAAAAAAAAAAAAAAAAAAGTAGTAATGTTCACCTGAGAAAAGTTGAAGTGCCTGTTTTCCAGGATGTAGAGAATGAAAGAAAAAACATGAAGACATTAAAAACTGAATAACTTATAGAAAAAGAATGAAATGTGCTCTTATCAGAGACCATTTGATTTGGGAGACTTCTAGAATTTAAAATGTTTTTCAAGTGAATAACTTGTAACATGAGAAGAGAAACTTATTTTAGAGAGAATAATCTCTTAAAGAAGTATTTTCTTTTATAATTAATAATGCATCATTTAAAACTAATTCTTAATTGTCATCAAAAGACAAGACTTAAGTGATTAAAAGAAAAAAAAAAAAACCTTAAGTGTGTTATTTTTGCCAATTCTGTATAAAGTTCATGAAGTTTTGGTAGATGACAGAAAACCATTTGCCTTTATGTGCTGGGTGGAACCAACAGTTAACATTATAATTACTATAATCTCTGCAGCGTCTTCGGTGCACATGGCTGTAATGATTCATACGGTGAGATTCTGCATTCAGCATTTGATTCAGGTATGGTAGGCTGTCACTTTCCATTTCATTCAACAAGTCTGCTGCTATACATTCAAATTCATTTTCATCACAGTCTTTCTCTTTGTTTTCAGCAGGTACTGATTTATGTTTAAAGTACCATTCTCCAGACATTTCCTTTTCCTCTTCCACATTTCCAAAAGCAGAATCACTGTCTCTGGCATTTTGCCTGAAAGAGAGCAGATTTTTATAGTAGGTTGGTTTTTTTGTTTTCAAGTGCGAGAGGAAAAAGGAGCATAACATTATTATTAGAATGTGGTAATTATATTGTTACATATGTTTATCATTTATTTGATAAAAGTGGAATGAAAGAAAAGAAACTGAGCAAGAATGAATGAGAATTTATAAAATATAAATAGAGCAACTTATTTCATGATATGAGAAATTTAGCAGAGAATTCATAGTATGAACAGTGCAAGGGACAGAATCTTATTTAAAGCTTAAACAGTGTGTGTATGAGAGAAATATTTCATAGCACATGAATAGTGAAGCAAGTAAATGAAAGAATAAAGTTTGAGCAAGAAAACCAGTGACTTTGAAGATGTTCTCAGAGTGAAGCAAAAATCTTTTTTGTCTGCATTAACTCAGGATCCAAGTATACATGTTTTTAGACTAACTTTTGAAACTTTAAGAAATCATTTTTTTAATTGTTTATAATTTCTTAGCAATTAGTATAAAAAAAAAAAAACATCCTTATACAATTTTTTCTTTTTGAAATGTGATAATTCTACTTTGATCCTTTGTAGCTCAAAGAAGTACAAATATGCCAACTTTCATCTTTGATTTCATGACCTTAAAATGTCCAATTTAAAAAGAAATCAACCTGTTTCTAAAAAAAATATCTCAGTAAGCTTCAACATATAAAAATAACCAATTACTTTTAGAGTTAAAAATTCTTTTGAAAACATACACATACTGATCAAGTTGGAGCCACTACACAAGATTTAACTTCAATACTTGAAAGCTAAAAGATTTTTTTGAATCATGGCTGTAAACAAGAATTGAATTTTGCATCTAATTTCAGATTAAAAGAAGTATTACTTTTATATGTGTGAATTCTTTGTACAGTCTCAAACAAAATTTCAGGCAATAGGTTGACTGCCGATTTTTAGTGGCCATTGAAGTTTATTGTATTATATCCCTCACAAAATTACCCAAGTTTTCAAAAGAAAAGCTGGGGGTTGGGGAATAAGGCAGCCTGTGAAGCTGAATAGCACTACATCAGTGATGGTCTAGTTGCTGCATAGGCTGAGTTGTTTCTTTACAAAACGTTTGGTAATATCTTAATATTACTTATTTTATTGTTTTGACAAGCTATTTTTTTTTCTTTACCTTTATTATAATCCTTAAGTAACCAAAAAGCTAAATAATGGTGTGACGACAATATTTTCCTACTTACCAGTACATGACAGTGTAGGGCTGGGAGTGGATATGATTGTGTGCCTTGACTAACCTGTGAGCTATATTAGCAGAAACTTAAGCTTCAGCTCTAACAAGAGACAGATCAGGCAAACAACAGCAACTGGTCCTTCAGATTAGGATTTGGGCATGGAACTAACACCCCCATTTCAGAAACTGCAACTTTAACTTATAAGAACAATAGATTCCACATTCAAAAATAGATTCACAATGTTCAACTCATGTTTGAATCATTGCAGACAGCATAACTCCTCATAGAAAAGCAGAACTAAATGATTATAGAAGGCCAGAGGAGGATGTTTCTTCTAGTGGTTTATGAAATAGTTTGTAATTTCATAAGAAATGTATCTGACTATCTAGCAGTGTTTTGCTGCTACACCACTGAAACCAAATATAAGCAACTGTAATGTGCCATCTCCAAAGTTCACAAAAATGCTACTGTTAACTGGTTCATTTAAGAGCTGTAACGGGATGGTACAATTATAATCTTCCCTTAGCAAAGATTTTCACAAATGGAGTTGGAGATCACGTCATCATTCATTGTGTGGTAGGTATTAGCAGTGGTTATGACCATGTAATAGCCAAAATTAGGTTAAAAGAATAAGTGACACTAAATAACCGTGACAAGTATTTGGCATCAATATGCTTCATTTAACAAAAATGTTTAGAAACAAAATAGCATTGAAATTGCTTCAATGAAAAGGAAGATAGAGATGAGGAGGTCATTGTTACAATAATATGGAATAATATCACAGAACTATATAAAATAAAAACATTTGAAGATTGCACAGGTTTAGAAGGAAAATATCAAAATGGTTAAAACCTGAGACTTGAAGAAAAATAAATGAAAAGAAAAAAAAAGTCCTTCAGAACTGACTGAATATGCAAAAGAATAGTATAAAATGAAATATGTCACAAGGAGTGCTCAATGGGGAAAAAAAAGTTTTAATGAAGGACTGACTGATTTGTTTTTTATGGCTTATCAACTCTCTGAGGTTTATTAAAAGCCAAAACATGTTTTGGATTGTAAGAATAATTCTTTTATTGCAAGTGAATATTGTATTAACAATTTATTTAAGAATAAAAATGATTTTTCCACATACAAGACTTATTTGATCCATAGTTGGGGGAGGATATGGATTCATACCTTTCCCAAACGGTATTTGTGCCTAAGTGAATGTAGTTTTAGTGAAGAAACTGGCAAGAGAAACACAAAGAGAGCTGCAGTAAAAGGAGAACTGAATTCATTTAACAAAGTCACTAAACAATTCAGTGGTCAATGTAACACCTACACTAAGCCAATAAAACAATAAATAGAGAGGACTGATAACTGAAAGGGAAAAAGCTTCAAAATTCAGACAAGCTTGCATGTCCAAAACTTTTAGATGACATTGCCACTAATCCTCCCCTTAGAAGTTAGAGTAGAAACAGCAATCATAGAAATGAAAAAGAGAAAGACCCAAGCTACAGGCAGTTATTACCACAAGCTACTGTAGTGTTTAATCTTCTAATGAAGGGTGACCTCAATAGTTGTGGCAGTTGGTGAAGCATAACACTTCTCTCCATTCCTACTAAGGTCAAGTATTGTACAAAGGGAAATGTCCCTTTGCTTATTGATGTCAAGGCATTTAACAGTGTTCATTGTGACAAGAACTTAACACACAATAAACTACCCAAAATTAATACTATCAGAGAAATTGTGGATGAATATTTTGAATGCATTGTTGGGTTGATTCCATGTCAAGTCACAAGTAAAGCCAGAGCCAAATTCTCCCCCAATCCTATTTCTAATCACCAAAGCAAACTTACCTGTACATCAGATTTAAAAAAAAAAAAAAAAAAGGACATAGGTTATGTGCATCAATGACCCAACAGTACCAGCATCAATAGAAAGTCATTAGAGTATGTTTCAGCTTCACTTAGTGACAATGGCACCCCAAAAGATATCAAAAGTCCAAGCAATTATTTTCTATAGCAGGAGAGTCATGAAAAAAGACATTTAAAAAAATAAAAATAACTGTCTACAAAAGATCTATTGATCTAACAAGATCTCTAATATAGAATGCTATAAGAGGATAAATAGTAAATGACCCTTGAGATAAAGAAATGCATCTTACAAAACCTTGAGAATGACCCAGGAAAGAATACCAAAAATTGTCTTGAGATGGACTGGAATGAGAAAAAGTAGGTGAGGTAGGCCAAAAGTCACCTAGCAGAAGACAGTGATGACAAAATTGAAAGAGATGGATGTCCTATGGAGTAAAAGACTGCAGAAAGCACAAGTGGCAGGATATGATTGTAACCTTATAGCTCAGGTTAACATTGCATAAAGCAATGATCAACATGACAAGGGGCAAATACTTTTATATTTCTGTTAGTTCTGCTAGGAAAGTTTTTCTTTGTGACTATTTGCAGGTATTTAACTTTCATTTCAAGTATAAGATCATTGTTCTTATTTATCATCTAAAAGACAAAATTTTAACAATTTACCTGTCATCCTTGTTCAAATCCTTTTGGTTAACTGCTTTATTTTGGCAGCCACAGTCATCACAGCCTGATTTACCACCACCATCAGAAGAAGCTGCAGCTGACATTTGCCAAGCAAGTAAATAGTGCTGGCATTTGAAGTTCTGCAGTTGGCCAGGCAAAAAGCCCTGTCCACACAGTGTCCACCACATTTGTTGACAGGTTGACCACACTTTCACTGAATTAGAGGAAAAGTGTTTACATTGCTTGTTGAAACTTGATAGTTTTTTGGACATGCGTAAAATAGTATGCAAATTCATATGTCGAAATTTCTTTTTAGTAATTGTACTGATGGAGTCTTGAAGTCTGACTGCCAATTGATCACAGCTATCTTTAGATTGGGCTTTCATCTCCAGATTATTTTTAGATCTGTTAAATTTTTTTTGGAAGTTCTTTTGTTCTTTCATTGATTTTTTATCACTATCTTCTTTGACTTTATTCTTTCTCTCATGAGAAGCAGCCTTTGCATTGAAAAGGTTTTTGTTAATTCTTTTGCCATTATTCTGGAATTTGTGGTTTCTGAAAAGCTTTTTTTTATCACCTGATATGTGGGGCCAGTGTTTTTTGGTTTTAGCTGACTTATATGTCTGATTTTGTTTCTCTGTATAATCATCATGTTCCTGATATTTCTTGTTATTTACATCTGACTTGTGTAATCTATATTTCTTGTCACCACCATCAGATTTGCGTGACCAATGTTTTATATCATCATCATCATAGTCGCCGTGAAGTTTTTCTTTCTTATATGACCAGTGTTCTCTATCATCATTAGATCGGTGTCGATGTTTCTTTTCTTCCTTATCTGACCAGTGTTCTCTATCATCATTAGATCGGTGTCGATGTTTCTTTTCTTCCTTATCTGACCAGTGTTCTCTATCATCATTAGATCGGTGTCGATGTTTCTTTTCTTCCTTATCTGACCAGTGTTCTCTATCATCATTAGATCGGTGTCGATGTTTCTTTTCTTCCTTATCTGACCAGTGTTCTCTATCATCATTAGATCGGTGTCGATGTTTCTTTTCTTCCTTATCTGACCAGTGTTCTCTATCATCATTAGATCGGTGTCGATGTTTCTTTTCTTTCTTGTCTGACTGGTGTTCTCTATCATCATTAAATCTGTGTCGTTTCTTTTCTTCCTTGTCTGACCAGTGTTCTTTATTATCATTAGATCTGTGTCGATGTTTCTTTTCTGACTGGTGTTTTTTATCATTTGACCTTTGTCGATGATACTTTTCTTCATTGTCCAACATGTGTGGCCGATATTTTTTTTCTTTGTAGTTTGACTTTTGTTGCCAGTGTTTCATATTGTGTCCATGTTTATCTTCATTGTTTGAATGAAGTAGCTGTTGTTTTTTCTTATGATCAAATTTGTGTGAATGGTGCTTCTTACTGTCAGCAGATTCATGATGTTGGTGTCTCTTATCTTCATTAGACCTAATGGATTTACTCTTTTTATCAAATTTTTTGTGTTTATTCTCTTCAATTTCAACAACTTCTAATCCTTTTTGAAGTTGTCCAAATTCTTCTGTTTTTCTGTCTATTTTATTATATTCCTTTTCTACATCAATAGAGTCCATGTACTTTTCTTTGGTCACTTGTAAACTGGAATCTTGGGAACTTGTAGCTTTGGCTTCATTATCTATTAATTCTTTTTTTTTTTTTTCCTTTGATTTATGAGACTTGATCTCTTTTTCACTCCTTGATATAGTTTTCTCCCAAAATTTACTAGTTCCTTTCTTGATTTTATGCAAAGTTTTCTCAAACTTGTTCTGTAAATCTTCCTTGGCTCTAGTCATTTGGTTCAACATTCGATTCATGTAAACATTAAGCTTGTTAAATTGAAAGTCTGAAGTGGTTTCAGAATTAACTTTTACCTCCTCATCAGATTCTTCCTGATCTTGTGAATCAATCATGCTTTGAAATTTTTTGACCATATACTCCTTCCACTGTTGGGCCTGTGGTGGAATCTCAGAGATAACAGATGTGATCAAGAGTAACATGGCATCCCGATTAAGCCAATCCATACGAGCACTGCAGTCTTTGTCCAATAGAGAACAGTATGAAGTCGATTCTTTTGCTTTCTTTGCTTTTTCTTCCTGAACTGTTTCTACAGTAGAAGCACCAGCAAGCAAGGCAGTTGAATCAGTGGCTGGTTTAAGGCTATCAACTGACTGTTTCATCTCCGCATAAAGTTTTTCCAAATTGTCAGCTCGCATTTTCTCTTCCTCCAGTTTTTTCTGCAAAACAGCAATGGCATCATGAGCTTTATTTTCAGACTTTATTTCATCAGAGCTAACTAAAGCATCATTTTGGTTGGGAACAAGAGAAACACCAAAACTTGATATTTGGTCAGGACTGCCTTCATTGAAACTCACATCAACATTCTCTTCTGGAGAAGATTGAATTTGAATGATATCATCATGGAAAGCAGCACCAACAGAACTGCTTATCTCAGTTTGTGACTCAGGGTCACTGTCTGAAGCAGGTTCATTTAGATCCTGGGGAACATCAGCTGCAAAGGAAAGAATAAAATTAAATTCAAGACAGTCACAGAAAACAATAAGAAAGCATCAATCTTGAAACTTATTGTTTTGTAACAAATGACAAAAAAAAACTACAAATATAATGGATAAAAAAATTGCTTTTTTTAATATCAAATTAAAATATTTAAAAATAGAAATAAGAAAAAAGGTATTAAAACATGAAAAATTATGCATACATTATGGTTAAACCATTGAAATTTGAGTATTAAAGCAAAATATTGATTGACCAGTCAAGAAAGAAATTTACTAATTATTAAAGAAAAACTGAAATATATACAAAGTATGATAATGCCCTAAAATTGGATTAAATTTATAACATGTTTGTGTACTGTTTATTCATACTGTCTGAAAATTACTAAGATGTAGAAACAGGCAGTAACAAAATGGTAGTTTGAATAAACTAATAGAATTTTCAATTTCTAAGTAAAGTGTGCAAGTTGATAAAATTTAAATCTATCACATAGTGGATTTAAATTATTCTTGAGAAACTTAAAATGTGTCAAGTGAAGAGAGTGTTTAAATTAAAACAAAAAAGTCATACCAAATTTTGTTTAGACAACTGACTTTTGTATTCTTGATGCAGTTATTATAAAACCTATTCTTCAACCATTGTCAAGTGTATAATCCGTAAAAGAGAAAGAATTTTCAAAAGTGCTCCCTAATATATCATCCAAACCAATCTATTTAAGCAATGCTATGTACATAATGAAAACTATATCTCCACCTATGCATCAAGGGGAAAATTCCTAATACATTCTTTGCTAGCAATGTAACAATTATGCAAATAAAACAACTCATTACTGGAGTTAGACCTTTATGGAAGAAGGGTTTGACAAAAGATTACATTTACAATATCCTCTGCAAATATAAAAATGCATATAAGGGGGTGGGTAGAGCAGATTCTGCCATACTAGATTTTTCCACCTCATCAATTGGCTATGGCTTATGTTTCTCAAGTTTAAGGAAGATGGCTGGTTCCCCAGACCCAGTTCCTTATATCTGCAGAGGATGTTGTAATTTTACATTGAAGGGTGCTATGAATGTCAATTTTTGTGATATCATTACTAATGATTTGTGTCCAGTATTGAAAAAAAGTTGGTTGAATTCAAAGATAATCTTGTGTATGTTGATCTTCTGTACACAGTGTTTTAATTGAGTTCACACAATTCAACTAGACCTCTTGGTGAGGCCATAGGATAAAAGTATAATCAATATACCTAATTTACATCAAAGGCTTCAAGAGAGTGGAACATATGTAGATATTGGAAATCCCAGAAGAAACTGGACAGCCTAGAGCTCAGTCAAAATACTTAACAATATCAAGAACATAAAAGGTGTTCAAATGTCCAAATGAAATTTGGAATGTGAACTGACTTCTCTAAATTACAGACAAGAAAACAAGAAAAAAAAACTTTGAAAACATTAATTGCATAGATGAAGTGTTTAATCATGTATCATGCTAATTGTAGCATACTTACTAGGACGATCTTCATTTCTTGAATTTGAGACTACTGGTGGTTGCACTCCAGATTTCTTGTCAAAGATTTCATTTCGTACAGCCAACAGTTGTTGATCAAGTTCATCAAGTCGATTTTTGAGCAGCTGGTTCACTTGTCGCAATTCAGTGGATAATTGCTGTTTCTTGGAATTTTGCAAATTGTTCATACGCCATTTAAGTGAATCCACATATTTACGCATATGTTCATTTTCTTCTATCAGCAAATGCATCTCATTCTAAAAGACAAAAATAACTAAGTCAACAAAATTTTCACCTTTAACCACATTTTAGATTTTAACAAAATCTCAACAAATGCATTTCATTATGAAAGATGTAAAAAAACCCACACAAATTCATCTTTTACTTTTAATAGACTTTTTAAAACCTTACAAAAAATTTATTTAAAAGAAATTAGAAGCATTGATATACTCTAATAGCCAAATTGAGTAAAATAGAAATTTATATATTTGGAACACAATTCCTTGTATTAATTTTGGACAGTTTTTCTTTATAGTTTTTACCTTGTGACTATCTGTTAAATCTTATCCTTCAAAGAATTAGTTGCCTAAAAACATTCTGCTATGAAGAAAAGTTTAAATAAAAGGGGTGTAATTAAAAAGAAATTGAAACTGTCATGGATCAACTTCCTGTTATGCAATGGAGAAAATAAAAATTGTTTTAATACACTAGAGTCAATTACTGTTACCACAGGAAAGTTGGGAGTACTTTTTGAAGAATCTCAGATTAACTGTTACCTTATAAGGAAACTTTCAGCATTCATTGACAAAGCCCTCATTACTACTGTTTGAAATTTATCAAATCTTTCACTTAAAACAGTTTTTCAGGAAAATAGGTTTCTCAAGTCCACTAGTTGTTATTGTTTTTTTTTCCATGGAGAGTTCCTTCCTAACCTTTTGTCTGAAAGTGTGGAATGTTAACATCTAGATATTGTCATAATTTTCTCTGAGTTAAAAGATACTATCCATTTAGTTGTTGCTGCTGTTGAAAGTCCTCAATGTGGTTTCTGTTATTAAGTGCAGTTCTTTGTGATTCTGCTGCACCAGTTAATAATATGGGAAGAAGTGTGGTCATCACTAAGATCTATTGGCTTCATTCGCTCAAAAGCCATTTTTAATCATTGGTCTAAGAAGCTGAATGTTTAGATATTTCTGAATTAATTTGGCACCATGCATGACATCCATATGAAAGTCTTGATCTGACAAGGCTATCTAAGAACATGACCTGAGTTTTTAGGTTAATGTTTTGGTTTTGTAGCAATTTGCAGTGCTGTGCAAAACTACTCCTAGTACAGCCAAGTCTATGTTCACTCTCCTTAACTCCTATAATAAATTTGTTATAACTGATCCATACACAAAGGTATTTGAAGTGTTTAGTATTTACTAACTCTACATCCTGAAATTTTAGGATGAATTCAGTGTATGTGCCATCACTGCTTTCATTGTAATCCCAGATCACAGTTTCTGTTTTTGAAAGGTCTATCTTGATTCCTATCACTCTTTGGCAAAGTCTTGGAGGCTTTAATCAATACTGAAGTGGTTAAGCACCTTACATCTCATGATCGACTCTGACAAACAATATGGTTTCCGCTTTGCCCAGTCTACTGCTGATGTGCGTATGGCCATGATAATAATGACGAAGCTTGATCTGTGGCTCTAGATATCTCTAAGGCATTTGATAGGGTTTGGCATGCTGGGCTTCTTTGTAAGCTTCAGGGATACGGTATTACAGGACGATTATTTGACAATCCAATCATTCCAGTCAAACCATGAAATGAAATGAAGGTTATCTTAAATGGATTTTCCTTCAGTTCCTTTCATACAAACTCTGGTGTTCCTCAAGGCTCTATACTGTTTCTGATCTTCATCAACAATATTTGTGATGTCATTAGTTCCCAAGTAGGCATCTGTGCAGACAACACTACTATTTATCCTCTCTCAATAGTAAATCTGGCATTGCTGACAAAGTTAACCTGGCCATTGGTCTCAAAAAGGACCTCCAATCTGTGGTTGACTGGGGCAGGAAATGGCTTGTAAACTCTAATGCCTCCAAAACAAAACTGCTCTCATTTATTTACCGATCATAGAGAAACCTCCCTGTGTCCTATCACCTACCATAGAGAAACCTCCCTGCCTCCTATCAGCATGGCTGATGATCAACTCCATGAGAGCATCTCTCTGCACCTTCTTGGTCTCATGTTTTCCATTGACCAGATGAAACAATTACATTGAATCAATAGCTTCATATACTGCAAGGAAAGTTGGTTCTCTGTGTAGTACCAGAAGGTTTTTCTCGTCTGAGTCCATCCTTCAATTCTACAAATCTACCATTCATCTTTGCACTGAATACTGCTGCCATATATAGTCTGGTGCCCCCACTGTTCATTCTCGACAAAATCCAAAGACAGATATGCAATGTGATAGATCCTGACCTGGCATCTTAACTACAGTCACTTTCTCACAGACGTAATGTGGCTTCCCTCTGTCTTTTCTACAAATATTTTCATGGCAACTGCTCTGACAAGCTACTTTCACTAGTACCCCAAATGCATGAATTTAAGTGTATTACTAGGTTGGCATCTAGATACCACCCTTTTACTGTCAAAACAATTAGATATAACTGCCTATTCTACTCCAACAGCGGAACTCACTTCTTACTTGCTTCCCTGATAGCTATAATCTTCAAATGTAATGTCAATCAACATCTTCTGATATCTTGATCTCTGCCCTTCTCTTTATCCTTTCCTCAAACACCCCTCTTATATCCCCTCTCTGTAACCCCTTGCATGCTAGTGGGATAGCTTGGGATGAACAAAAAAGAGAAAAGGATGATATTTTTTTTGTTCAAGATCATTTTTATCACAACTCTGAATACTTATGCCATCTGTATAGCATGAGCTATATATTGGCCTCAGGTAGGAAAGCAGGAAGTCTTTTAGATATTACAATGCTGACTGCAGAAGTGGGGGTAAAGAAATGCAAATACTGAGAAATACTTTCTTAGATAAATATGAGTTTTTTCATTACTTACATTCCTGACAGAGTAATATTAATATTTAAATTTATATTTAAAAGTGTTCCTTAAAGGATAACAAATATAGTATTTTTAATTGAGAAAAGGAAACTCCTTTACTCACAATACGCTGCATTTCAGCTATGTCTTCAGATAACTGCTCACTAGAATAAGGACCTGCAATAAAAGAAAATAAGAGTTCAGAGTTTAATTTTATAAGGTGATGCAGTCCAAAAAATAAATAAACTGGAAAATAAAAAAACTTTTAGGTAATAAACATTGAGAACCTGAGAAAGAACTTTCATTTTTACCAAATATTAAAACTTACATATATTTCTTGATATAAAAATAATACTGTGTGTGAGAGAGGGATTTTTATTTCAAATAAGAGTATCCACTATAACAACTTTTGAAGTAATGTCAGATTAAAATTCATCCATTAATTCTGCAGAAATTGCTTTATTTACATGTCACATATGAAACTGGGCAGATATGGGTTTTGAGAAAAAATCTGATGAAGAAGTGTGCTTTCTTTAAAAGAGAAAATAGTTTTGCTGAAGTGTGACACTCTCTGATTATTTTTTAGAAAATCTTGGTAAATATAATTTTTTTTTCTTCATCTGTTACCTACCACTTACTTAATTTCTATAAATTAAATTCTATACCCCCAATTTTTTTCATTAAAAAGCAGGATTCCTTGGAGAAGGTAAATCATCAAGTTTTTGGGGCTTTTTTTTCAAACTACTGCTCCTTTCCCATATAGAACAATAATAAACATGTCAACACCTTGTAAATTGCTTGACAGCTGCTTCTGAAGCACTTGATAAGCTTTGACAAGCACTTAACACTGTTACTGTTTTAAAAACCCATTTCTGTTACTTTCTGCTGCGAATTGTAAAATAAAAACTGCAATAAACTATCTAAGTATTTAATTAGATAAATAAGCTTTTAATTGCTTTTATAAATAATATATATTAAGAACATTATAGTCTGAAGAAAATAATTTTTTTCAATGAATAATGAATTTTTACAGGAATTGTTTTCATTTTTTTTATTATAATAATTTATAAAGTTTCAAAAATGATTTAAAAATTCTTCCAAATTTCATCCTCATTAAGTTATTAAGTAAAGACTATATTTACTAAGCAAAAATATAAAAGCTTAATATAAATGATAATGCCCATATATTTTTAAAATAATATTTAATTTTTTTTTTTTATGTGCATAAACATGCCAATTTTGAAAGTATGGGTGGCCATACATGACATGATCAGAAAATAAGATTGATCATGATAGTAAATTTAAAGTCAACATTCCTAAAATTAGATTATGGAGAATATTTCCAACATTTTTAAGATTACTGAGTACTTAAAAATTACATAATTTCCTTAAATTATGTTTTTACACAAAGTCTCTATAGAACAATAATAAACATATCAACACCTTGTAAATTGCTTGATAGCTGCTTCTGAAGCACTGAAGTGATTTACAACTGCTGTTTTAAAAATCCATTTCTGTTACTTATATTTTTTTTTCAAATGAGATTAATTATACTTAAATCAGGTAATATTCTTCAAATAGTTTCAGAAAAGTATTTTTTTTTTTTTTTTGGAAGATTTTTTAATAAAGAAAAACTTGTCATGACAGATGGCTAAAGCTATTTTTAACATTTTTGAAGGGATATGAAAAGAAAATATTAATTTTTTTTTCAATAATCAAGGATTTATTTATCAAATTACAGGATTTAACTCCAAATCGTAACCATATTGTAACCACTGCCTGTAGACAAGTGATCATTTCCTGACTATACAGAGACTTGTAGCATACATATACATACATAATACCTGCTGAATAAATATGAACAAATGTAAGGTGGACAGTTTCTGTTTATCTGGCATTTCATGATGAATCAATTTCATAGAACTGCTAGAAATACATTTGATTGTCTCAACATTAAGAATAACTAATATTCAGATTTGCAACCTAAATGTAAATACCACAAATAAAACTTGTTAGAAATTTAATGTTAAATACAGCAATTTTGTTCTTAAAAAAGGAAATTCCGAGAATCTTTTTTGTGCATGCACTAATCTTCATTCAACCTGAATCCCACTGGAAGTAGGAGACTTAATCATTTGGTAAATCACAACATGTCATGGAGTAATTTTGTTTCAACCTTCAGGAAGAACATCTCCACTACTAGCAACCTGAATATGGATCAGTGACTAAAATTTTGACTGAGCAAAATACCTCAACTGCTGCTGAAAACAAGGAAGACTATCTTCAACTAACCATGGCCTAATAGTTAGAGACAGAAATGAAAGGGTTACAATATTATTGCCATTAAACTGTCAATTACTTTGAGAAAATTGCTCCTCTCATAAAAGTTAAGACACTTCCATCACCCAAGATGGCTGAAAGCATTTGAATGCTGCAGTCCATTATATTGATGGAACAATTCGCTTTGTTATATAGATGGATGATCCTGATCACACTATCATTGTCTTGAATCAAGCTGTGAGACCAGTGGTATATATTAAATTGGAGTCTCTGTGCAAGTGGAAAGGCTAAGCTTGACACCAATGTACACTTTTTTTTTTTATCAGAAATCAAAGATATTCATGCTTGATTCTAACCAATCTAGGAAAATTAAGAATTATAAAATTTAAAGCTAGTTTTGATAAAGTATTGCCGAATGAGAGATAACATTACTGCCAATGCTTTGTCTAGGGCATACTCTTCTACCGTCGATTCCAATTTGGTAGTTAAATTGCACATTTTTTATCATGCATACTACATTTTCTTCAAATAAGTTACCATTCTCTGTTGAGGAAGTAAAACATAATGTTGTTGACTACCCCACATGAATGGTGTTTTTATTTCTGACCAACCTGTGGATACTCTATTCCAATATGGCTGCTTTCACCTAGAGTTGTCCACTTCAGGCATCATGTCAGACAATCCTGGTGAAAAACTCCTTCAAGCAAATCCTCTTTACAACTGTCTTCATAATGGTCAGTAGACAACAGATTACTTATGAAACAGATTGTATGAAATTCAGGACTCCTGACAACCTCAATTCATCAGTCATGTTGAGGATTTCAATAAGAAAACAGGCTAGAATGAATCTGAATCTATTGCTCCTGTGAGTCATTGATTCCTAATTTGAGGAATACTAATTGTCCTGATAACCAGTCTCTATTAGACTAATTTGACTATGTTACACAAACCACCTGCCTGAATTTATTTTAGTGATGTATTGATACTAACTTGGTATTTTTTATTGTAAATTTTATTTAGAGAATAGTAATTTTGTTATGCATGCTTCTGTATTCTAATGGCAATTCCAACTGTTCATTGAGGATCTGTTAACATCTAATAAGAAAGTGTGTATATGAGTGGACTTTGAAGTCAATGCCGAGTAGCAACAGTGCTACAAGCTTGAATGCAATATTCAGGCCCCAAAGTAGCATTCAACATGAAATACTGTTGCCACTTTACATTGACCTCAGTGCCCACTCATTTTACATATGTTCTCTCTCTCTCTGATATTGAGCACTTTTACCCATAAATATAGCATACCTAAAAACTATATATTTTTTTATCAGACACACACACACACATATACATACAGGGTACAGTAGAAATACCTGCTAGATGAAGACACCATTGCTACTAATGTCTTATCATTATGTGGAAGGTATTTCTATTGCACACTGTATTATATATATATATATATATATATATATATATATATATATATATATATATATACATACATACACACTTTATTAAAAGGCTAAATAAATTACCATATTCTTTGATGAATAAAACCCAAGTAATAAACTGTTTCTTCAACAGTAAGAGGAATTGTGCATAGTGGCAAATATGTATTGATTTACACCTCAATTTACAACACCAAAACAATTAAGTTCTATGTCAATGTTGTGCTCAATAGTTACTTGTTTTTTAAATCATTTCTTTTTGTTACCCAAGGCTGAAAAGAAACAATGGAATTTTATTAAAATTATCATCATATTAAAGAAATAATATGAAGAGAGGAGAGAGGAGAGAGTGTGCATGGAAGGGGAAACAGAAAAAAAATTAATTAGACACAAAACCCATTGCTTAAATAAGTTTCTGGTTTTCAAATGTCTCTAGAAAGAGCAACATGAATTCAAACTGGATGGTTAGTATCATGTTACTTTTAAGAAATACCTTAATATTTATTGTAATATACAATCAGATTTTCAGCTGATATATATATATATATATATATATATATATGAGGCAAAATAATATTCAATGAACACAATCAGCTACTTAGGAGATAAAGTTGCTTACTTTAATAGCACCATAGATTAAAGCATAAAACTTTGTGGTTGAAATCCAACCTTCCAGTATGTTTACAATTTGTGATTACATTCTATTTTTTTTTCATTAATATATAGAAATAATTGAATATTGTTGATAAAATTTCTGACTATCCCCTCTCACTGGTAGTTTATGTAAAGTTTAAACAGTTTCAGTTTTCAAGTGATCAAAGTAGCTATAGAATTCCATATAATAATTACAATGACTTACCAAGTGAATGCTTTGTTGTGAAACCAAGTAAGAGGCCTACAATGAGGGATGCTAACATCATGAAGGTGATTGACATCCTGGGTGGCTTGAGAAGTAAACTTGGTACCAGTAAATGTGATGGTGATGATGCCAGACTGCCCAGATTTGTAACTGGAGAAATTGTGTCATCTGGTGCAGTAAGAGCAACTTCAGATTCTTCAGCTGAAGAGCATTGTTCTACATTGTTGCTGCTCTCATCATCAGCATCATTAGCATTTGCAGACTCAGTCAAACTTTTACCTAAGGCTGAAAAGAAACAATGAAATTTTATTAAAATTATCATCATATTAAAGAAATAATATGAGAGAGGGGAGAGTGTGTGTGGAAGGGGAAACAGAAAAAAAATTAATTAATTTCATGTAACTACAAAGAGATTACTTTTACTTATATTAAACCTGAAGCAAAAATAGAAATTTTAGATTTTAAGCCTTTCCCAAGGCTTATCCAAAGATGGAAACCTTAAAATTTAGAAAGAAACTAAATAACAACTGCATCATATATCTTCCAGCAAAATAGTTTTTAACACAGAGAACATTCAATCAAAAGCTAAATGCATCTTTGCAACATACTTGTCCGGGTGAAATTCTTTAAAACTAGAAAGTAGCAATCATTGTTATTCAAGAATTTACATGTAACTTTAAACATTACAATATATCCTGTTTTGAATAGTTTTGTCTTTGACAACTTTTTCATTTGTTTTTCTGTCAATATTTATAACAGGCAGATTATGGGAAAGATTATATAAATTATTATTTTGTGAATTATTTAAACCATTATCTTTTTAAGTGCAATTTTCAAACTTCATATCAAATGTATTGTATCCAGTAACCTTCAATAAGTCTTACTAGTCTTATTCCTTTAGTATATCTACTGTCCTCCTGACAAAAACTGAACTAATGTTTTTATCTTGCTAACATTTTATTGCTATCTTTCATTTGAAGCCCAAGGTCTGTTTCTTTGTTATTTTATGGGACTAATCAATCACTATTTCCAGAGTATTCAGATGAACTACATTCTTTAGTTCCACCAGTCCTAACCTTTATGGCTAAGATCCACCATGCCAACTTTGTCGTGATCAGGGAAGCAACCTCTTCAATCTTAACCTGTTCAAGTCTAGGATTAACCAGTATCTTCTACAGGTATCCACATAAGTCATGCCTCTTACTCTTTAACACTTTACTTTGAGGGCTCTTGGGCCTTGTCCAGGGAGAACATCATGAGAAAAAAAAATGTACTAGCATTTCCCAATAAAAAGAGAATAATTCCCCCTCTTAGAGTCAGAAGGATGCAGAATACATACTGGGATGTTTTTCTTAGCCAATAAAATGGGATGGCTCGCATTTTGATATGACTGTCCAGATCTGCCTTAACTACTAAACAAACATATTGTGTTCACTTGGTCGACCTTGCTTTTGTGTACAAATACCAACTCTTAGTTTGTGAATTGTTTTTCCTTCTTATCAGTTTTGATTTGCTTTAACTATATTGTTTGCTTGTTGGCATGATTGTTGCTGTTTCATCTTTTTGACTGTTTTTCTTTTCATTACAAACTTTATTAGTTCTGATCATGTTATTTATGCTGCACTTTAACAGTGGCTTTACTCATCAGTAATCTAGTGAGTTTTGGCAAACTTACTGAATTAGGTTGTGATATAAAGAATCAATAAACAACAATCAATGGTTTTATCCTGGAGGTCAATTGCTACGATGACCAAAACAAAGAGAAAGATACTGGTCCAAAATAATTCAAGAAGTAAGCCATCAAAATTCTCTTTGGAATTTCAAGAAATATTTTAAATGCTGATCCAAAACAGATCCATTTTATGTTTCACAGGAGTATAAAGTTAGGAAAATAAAACTGGTATTAATGTTAGGCACAATATGAAAGTTCAAGGTTAAACATGAAAACTGTTGTTAAACATTAGTAACAAAACAAAAGGAGTACATTTTGAAAATAAAAAAATGCAGGCTGTTCAAAAGATTTTATACACCAGTAAAGGAAACAAAAAAAAAACAGTTAGAAAAGAAAGAGAAGTTAGATATCCTACTAAAATTTCATCCTAAAATGCTAAAATTAAAAGTCGAAAATCAAGAGAAACAAGGCGAACTGAACAAACCTTGCTTCTTGTATTTAAAATTAATTTTTGGACGCTGATTGGCTGGTAAAGCATTGTTTGCACCAGTAGCCAATTGGAGGTGGGCCAAATCTGAGCTGCTGTGTTGGTCAAGGAGTTCAAAATCTGAATCTGTGGATGGATGTCAGGCAAGAGAACATTTAGTGAAGATGATACAGTGGAGAAAGAAATGAAAAATTCAGTAAAAGAAAGCTCTCAGCAAACAAAAAAAAAAAAGGGAGAGCTTCTAGTTTTCCTTTTGATGCTCATCACTGGAACTTGATATAACAATTGGTTAAAACTAATATTTATAAATAGCAGTATCAAATATATTTACAATAAAGTAATTTCAACTTTATTAGATAAATAATTGTATGTCAATTAGGATTTTTTTTTTTGTTCTTAAGTTAACTATAATAAAACAAAAAATTATAGGTAGTGGGGAAACTTGGCCAAAATATTGATTATCAACTAGAGTAAATTAAAATTATTTAAATAAATCGAAACTGAATAAAGCATCATCCACCAGAGAAAACATGGAATTATTTCAGCACAAATATGAATTCTTATCTTGCTTTTATTTAATTTCATTCTTATAAGACCGAACTTTTGATACACTTAATTCCAACAGACGTTTGGACTAATCCATAACTGTTTCCAATAAGTAGCTCAGTGGTTGAAGCAATGAAGTTCATTGGACTGATCACATCACCACAAAAATTCAGTAAATAAATAAAACAGTATTATACTCAAAGTTTAATATTTAATTATCAGAGATTTAACTAGCACAAGACACTACATGAAAACTGGTTCTGAGCAAAGGTTTTTCTATCCAGTTGTAGAATATGTTAATCAAAGGAATAAATAATTAAAAACAGATAAATAAATTTTCCCTTGCTTATTTCAAAGACTCACTTCATTTTTTAAGCCTACTCTTAATTTTCCTTATTCCAAAGGTTATATTTGCCATTATTCTCTAATAGAAAACCAAATTATCAGAGTTGTGTGTAATTTAACTATAAGGATCTAAGCTGCCACTACATCAAAGCAATTCCAGACATGCAAGATGGCAGCTACTACTTGATCCTCCTGATTAGTCTTTGTAACTACTCACTTATGGTACTTGAAAATAGTATCTCATAAAAGTTAATTAATTTTGTTGGCTAATAGCAAAACATGTCTAAACTGACATGTATTAATTGTGTAAATGAGAGACAGATTAAAATACATGAGGATTAGGAAAAATTCATAAAAAGAACAACATTACTATAGAAATTTGTCTAAAAAGAAAATCATAAAACAGTTAAAAACAACATCAAAAGCAAATGATGCACTAATAACATTTTTCATAAAATTCAATAAAACTGTACTGAAAATCAAAAAGAAAAATGCAACAATCCATGCAAGTGCATAAGTTTCAAATCAACAGTGAAAGCACAAATGTCACCTAATGATATTAATTAAATGAGTAAGTATTTTTATAGAAGTAGAAAAACAAATAGACCTTTTATTACTGAAAAGATCAAAATTGACCCATTTGTTATTAAACATAAAATTAACTAAGCCATAATACAGCAAATACATAATGGAGTAACCAACTATTTTATAAATTGTCTTGAAAAAAAAAAGACAAAAGTAAAGCAAGGTGAATAACTTCATTTTAATCAGCAAATTCTATGATCACAGAAAAAGAAAATCTAAATCTCAGGTTGAAAATTTTCAACTTTTAATATCTTAGTCAAGCATACAATAATGGTTCAATTTAATTGTATACAGTTTTCAACTAAGCATAATGAACACAAGATATAAATGACAAAGTGATGTTTTGAAACATGAAGGGAAATAAACCTAAATCAACAAAACTAATTAAATATTTGCAACTAATAAACAAGTAATGCAAAACTTGAGAGAACTAAAAACATTACAAAAATCTATCTTCACTGAATATAAAAAAAGACATTCAGCTCATTAACAAATCTTTAAAACTATTTATGGTTTAAAAATTAATGCCACTCATTGATGCTCAAGAATAAAATAGTATTATACCTTATCAAAGTATTTTTTTTTTATTTTCTCCCTCCATAGCAAACTTCAATTTTGTGTTTATACTGTGTGAGATTTAGTTTTCAGAAAGTTGAGAAAAAGAAATCTAATACCAATTGAGAGCTATTTGTCTTAAAAATAAATTCATATTTTACAGTGATGCTTTTAAACATAAGTGTATATAAAACTGAGTATTTTTCAGCAGCCACTTAAGCATATTAAACTTACAGAAGCTTGTGATAATTTACTTTTAACCAAATTATAAACTGTTTATGGATGAACCATGATGAATTCAAATTCAATAACTTTATATGGCATTGAAATTTAGTTAAGAATCTGAAGCATATCTAGATATCTTTTGTAATTTGTTATATACTATTTCTGATGAACATCTATCTAGCTTTCTAATTGACATATATACACTATAAAAACATTATTTTTAATTTAAACAAAGCAAAATTCATAACTTTTACTAAGCACATCAAAGCAAAAATTAAAATGAAAAGAATTCAGTCTTATAGTAATAGTCAATTTAATGACAATTCAAATGATTCCTTTAATATATTTCTAAGTTCAAGGACACAACCTTTTTTTAGTTAACAGTGAGCAGTATAAAAGAGTCTTCTGAAAATTTCTTAATTCTGATGTTTGGTCAGATTTTGACAACTGGGTCAAGCTGAAAATTTTTCAGCACACTCCTCACTAAATTGTATAATAATTCCTCACAGCCAGTTATATTATTGTGGCAAAAATGAAAAAGTAATAACTTCTTTGTGAGGAAAAAACAAAATGAATGATTTGAAATCATCATTAGTAAAAAAAAATTTAAAAGAATAACTAACAGAAAATAGTAAATATGAAATATACTCCAGAACAAATAGAAAATTATAAAAAGCAGCAAAGAATTTGTAAATGATGATCAAGCAGTAGAAAATTTACCAAATATGAGTAAAAAAATCATTGTATACTTCAATAAGAGATAATGCAATTATTTTTTTTTTTAATTTTTAAGCAACATAATTGTTTTAGGCCCAATAAAAAGTAAGACAATGTTGATAATAGATAAAGCAATTAAATACAATATTTAATTCTCTCTTAAATATTATGTATAAATTATAGTTGTTTATAAAAATTATGAATGTGTATAATATAAGATGATCTGTGGAAAAATATAATTCAGTAAAAGTAATTTGAAGGGTAGCATTGGCATAATACATTTGTGATTTCCAATTGTAATACGAACTGGTCAATCTATCTTGTATAGAGACACCAGTCTGTATCTTTCAAGACCACCCCAGTCAAGGAAAACTATTCCATGCAGGTTTCAAAGTAAAGAAATTCAATACTAGCATTAGAATAAGTGGTCTATACAAGACATGTGAAAACAAACAACTCAATCTATGAAATATCTTGTGAATTGAACAACTTTCAAAAATGCATTGATACAGAAAAATAAATTTATACAATTCTACACATTGACTAATATGTACACACATGGACACATGAAAAATTCCTTTTCTACAAGAAGGATCATTTCTTTTCTATACCATATTTATTTTTTCTAAGCAAACAAGAGAAGAAAGAAAAGCATTCAAACAATATCTGCAACATCATAAGGAAGTGAAAAGATAGACAGTACAAGAATTAATGTCTCAATTTTCAACTGAGAGTAACTGGTTTCTAATATAAGCCAATCTCCACAGTCCTCACTACCTAATGATGTTTCAAACATGAAAATTTTGATAAAGACACTTTCTTCACTTTTTATAAAAAATAATGATGAGTTACACAAGTCAATTTAGCTACTCCTCAAATTCCATACTTTTTTTTTTTTTAAATTTGTCAAATCAGCGAAGTGATGCATATAATTAAATAGTTTATTCACATTTTTGTTTTTTTCATAATACTTCAACTTATCACTGAGCATCTTCAGGTGCATAATTAATTGCATCCAAATGAAATCTCTGCTCCAGTAAATGAACTTGGAAAGATAAAGCTGTAAAGCCATTTTTCTGTGTCAGGATGTAGAATAAAGCAGGCAAATATGATCAGAGAAATTAATCAAAGCCATTAAAAAGAGTTTAAAATCTGTCAACAAGGAGAAATTTCATAATTACAAAACTAAAACAAATGAAGAAGAAAAAATACAAAGTAGAAATAATTTTTTTTTTTTTTAAATTTAAAAGGGACACAGCAGCAGCTAACCCGGTAAAGTCTTGTTCAGTTTACATCTACATCAATAACTTTTATTGATGTTTGAGAGCATAACACAACTGACGATAGGAATTTAAGTCCAAGCGCAAATGAAGAGAAAAAAAAGAAAAAAAAAAAAAAAGAGGACGAAGAGCAAAATCTCTGCACGTGTTTATTGTGAACTTACCAAACCAAAAGTCTTCTGGGAAAGTATCCAGATCTAAAATTGCAGGAGATTGAAAGACAAAAGAACAGACTGAAAAGAATCTTACATGAAGGACAATGACTGTTGTGGTTAGTCATACATTAATTTCATTACCTCACCTAAAGTCTTCCTGCATAAGCCCCTTTAATGAAAAATTCAATGTTGTTATCAAAAACTTCAGAATCACACATTAATAAAACTATACTGAAAAATGAATAAAGGAAAAAAAAAAAAAAAAAATCTTCCTTTAGTCAACACAAAAACAAAATCAAATTTAAATCCTAAAGTAAACAAACAGATTCTTGAAAAGCTGGAAATAGAGGTAAATTTTGTTTCTGAAAAATAATTCCAAGATCAGATATTGTGGTTAAATAGTATTGTGTATATTCTCAAAAAAAACTAATTCAAAATAGTTATGTCTTACACAAGAACTTTAAATAAACCAATAATGAATACCAAGGATCACCCTGTCCCACAAAAAAAATGAAAATAAATAAAATATGAGTTAACATGATTTTTTTTTTTGGCGTTTGAATGGATTATGCAAAATGATATGTTTTCATCAATGGTTACTTGGAATGTTTACATTTGATTCCATAAGTTGAAATAAGTATCTATATTTAAATGATCATGTCTCCATATGTTTCTTCCATTCCACTATTGATTTATATTTATTAATACAATAAAAGAGTGTAAATTTCAAGCTGTGCATTCTAAAAAACTGCAGAAAGATTTCGATTTAATCAATTATAAGCATAAATCCAAAAAGAATCATTCTGTTCTGGTTTATGCTGAGGTATTATTATACACTAAGACATACAATCAACATCTGCACAGAATGAGATAACAAAGACAATTGCTTTATTAAGCATTTAAGTTGACAGAAGTTTGATATTTTAAAATTAAACCATGAAAAGTAAGATATCCTAAAAAATAAGATTTAACCATTTTATCAATTGAGAGCAGGAGTTTCTGGGAATTGGCTCATTTTTGGTGGGGAGGAGTGCAAATACTCAGTAAATTTATACTTTTGTAAAAATCACCAAATGCCATGTTTTCTGAGACTACTTTGATATTTTAAACTCAGCAATGGATTACTTCTCTTTCTAAACTTGTCTTATTTTTCTGTAACATAAATTTTATCAAAGAAATTATTCTTTGATAAATTTCAAGTCACACAAAAAATTCTAAAGCAATCATACATAGATCATGAAATTATTTTTTAAAATCACACACAAATTATTTTATAAAAAATAAAATTGTAAGTCAAAAACATTTTCAAACAATGCTATTATTGCACCTCCACCCTCCCTACTTTTAGGTGGTGGGGCGAGTATATTATAAAGAAAAGTGACACAAAAAAAAAAAAAAAAAAGAGAGAAAGAAACTTTTGAAAGCAAACAGTTTCATGAAAATGTATGATCAGTCTGAGGGTACAGTGAGCAATGCAGTAAGGGAGATAACGCATGCAAAATAAGCAGATTGGAAGAATTAACCCTTTTCTTGTTCAACATAATTCCTATACTACAGGTTTTATTGATCTTATATCATTAAACCACAATTTCATGAGTGAATTAGTCTCACAGCTAAATGTGTAGACATATTTAAACTAAGACCACTTCATCACTGTGTCAGGAAAAAAAAAAATAAGTGGGGCATGTTTTACTGATGTTTCTCACAGGAAGAATGCATATATAAATTCTAGAATTACACTTCTAAATTTATTAAAATTCATGTAATATTTTATAGGAAACGAAAAAAAAAGTATCTTCTCATTGGTAACAAATACTGCAGAAAACTAGAATTAGCAAGAAAAGGGCTAAAGATTAATATAAAAAATAAGCCTTTACAGTTTTGTTGCATTACACTCTTAAGCAAAAACTAAATCACTCTAAAACAAGTCAAATTATTAAGGATATTGAATGGGTTTATATTAATAATTCTTAATAAGCAACAATAGCCAATTCCTATGTATAAAGCAATAAAATGCAGCATTAGATACTAAATATAAAAACAATGAAAGTTTCTTTACCTCCATCAGAGAAACGGCCTTCAAGTAAAGTAACTGATCCAGATGAATCACTAAAAAATTAAAAAAAAGAAAAATAGACAGTTAAAGAAAAAATAATGAAAATTACAGTTAATTTTATATAAAATTAAAATCTAAGGTAACAGTTATTTTCCTTAAATTCTTTGTTATTGAAACATTAAAAAAAAATTAAATTAATTTTCATCTTATCCATTATAAGATTTTAAACTGTTGTTGACAATTTGCATAATGCATCAAAATGTAAACAGATTCAATATGAAATCAAGGCAAAAAAACTGGCACAAAATGATACAAATTTTTCAAACTGGCTTTCTTTTCTTGCTTCTATCAAACTTCCAGACAATTATTGCTTAGCAATACTGAAATAAAGATCAAATCTTTTCATGATGAAATTAAATTACTACAAAGTAATATACTTTAAATGATGCAAACTAACCTTCTCAATATTTATAAACAAATACAGGTACTTACTCAGAACTGCTAGGGGAGACAGGTGACTTAGAATAAGGTGAGACAGAGGCATTGCTGTTGGCAGATGTAATGTTTTCAAGAGTGAGGTCTCTCCTACTTCTCTCCCCATTTTCATCTTTCATTGCAGAACCATGATCGGCTACAGTTGCACCATCAAAGATGGAGTCATGAAAGCTCCAAACCTCCGATGAATTTTCACTTACATCTGAAAAATAAATAAAACTTACATGCTACATTTTTGTCATGGATTAAATTTTTTTTTTTTAAATTGCATTATGATTGTTGTTAATCAATGTACCTAACCATCCATCTGTTTTAAAAATCACACACACATTTTTTTTTTTAAAATAAAGAATGAAAAATGTTACGTTTTTCTTAATAAGGTGGTTGTGAGGGTTTTCAAAGAAATTTTTTTTTAAAACAGCAATACTTAAATAGACTGGTCCCCTCAAAAAGGAAAGAAAACTACATGAATATCAAAAAGTCAGGAGTCAGTTTGACAGTGTATTTATATTGTAAACAGACCCTCCCATCTAAAATAGAAAATTAATGTTTTTTGATTCTGACAAATTGCCCAAGTAGAGGAAGTTCTTCAGAATGCCAGGCAACAAAAAATCAGTCATGAAAATATTTTTAAGAAATTACTAATTAACATTCATGTGGGAAAGTAAAGGATCATTTTAACATTCACTGTACATATTTTTTCATTTCAATAGTTATTTTGATTTTATGTTGAAAAGCTTTATACAGTAATACAACAATCTTGTTCTTTCCACAACATATTCTAAGATAAAAATGTTTGATTTCTTTTTTGAAAATGTTCCATTGCAATGTATCATTGCTAATAATTTTAGTCATCATGTTATTTGTCAATAAAAATCTTTTTGTTTATTTTTATCAATTTTTTTTTTTTTTTTTTACAAATAAAAAACAAATTTTGCAAATTCAAAAAATATTGCCACAGTGCTTAGGCTAAACTCATCCTTGTGTGTGTGTGTATATATATATATATATATATATATATATATATTAGAGGGAGGGTTAGTTCCCCATTAGTGTAAACGTAAACTGAACAATCATTGACTAAAAGCGCTGAAACATGCACCTAGTAATCCTATATTTTAGTTGGAAACTATATTTTCAGATCTTATCAATGTCTAAAATATTTGCATACAAAATAGTAGTTTAGCATGGGGATGCATCAGTTTTGTTAAAGATTAACAATGAAAAACATTGGCAACAGGTGTATGCTGGATTTATTTTAACATTAACCTGTGCTGGCTGTTGACTTACTGATTATTTTACATTATACATCACAATGCTTCTTGTATCATGAATTTCATATTAACATAGAACTAGATTTTAAAATTAGTTTTAACCCATTAACTTCAGAAGGAAATTTCCGTCATTGCAATTCTATGCATTGACTATGGATAATGGAAATTTCTAATAGGTTGGGTTAAAATAAAAAGAATGTTCCTAATTCACCTCCAAAAATTAAGATTTCGTTGTAAGGTTAACATAAGTTTATTTTATGACAGATAGAATTCAGTAAAATGAGCTTTGTACATAGAGGTGATAAATGTTTAAAACAATACAGTATTTATAGCAAATTAACATTAATTATTAAATAAAGAAGCAATCAGAAAAGATGCAAACATTTTATTTTGTTATTCTTTTATAAATGAAAAGAATGTGTATTTTTCATGCAATGAAATAAGATGTCTACAAATTAAATTTTATAACATTTATTCAAGAGGAATAATATTAGACACAAGATATATCATAAGCATCTAGACTTTAAATGAAACCACCAAATTATGACATATCAATTCAGGTTTAATTCATGTCATCAGTTTAATCAACTCTCTCCACCTTCAAAATAAAGCAACACCATTTCCTTCAAGCTGTTAAGTTCAGAGGGTTAAACTCTACTGGGATGATCCATTAGAAGAATATAACATTACACCAACTCCAACATTTCATTTGTCTATTGATAGCTGAAGGACAGGAACTACCAATTCTCAGAGGTATTTGTAAAATAGTTACCAATATTTGAAAGTATAATTTTCACATTTAATTAATACTCAGTTACTAAGTAATAGTTTTCGTTACATGTCTATTGCATTAATATCATGTCAGATTCCCCTACATTGAATTGTACTGCCATTTTCTATAAAGTATTTACATTTGTAAAAGTAGAGCAAATATTATCAGCTACTGACATTCTAGGTATTATTCAAATCATAACTCTTTGATTAAAAAAAAAAAAAAAAAAAAAAAATATGTATCTAGTAAGAAGAATAAAAATCGATAAGTAATAGTATTTACAAGCAAGAGTTAAAATGTCATTCAACTATTACTCGTAATGTAACTTACCTCTTTTTTTATGCAAAACAGTTTTCACCTCTGCCATTATCAGTAACTTTATGTTTGGTGACTTATGGCTTGTAAGACATTTTTTAAAGCTTAAATCAATCTATAGAAACATTTTATATCTTTTAAACTAAAATGGTTATATCTAATAATTTTAGATCAGAAAGAATATAATGAAAAATTAATATTTTATTTTTTTTTTTTTTTTTTTTACATAAAAAGAATAGTTTACCTTGACTGTCTTTCTGCACTTCTGGTTGAAGACTTGAACGTTGATTATTATTTCTTTCATAGTGGACAATTTCATCATGTATAAACTCAATGGAACTTTCAGAACTGGATCCAGGATCTGACTCTATACTCTGAAATAAAATATTTGTATGAAATAATTACATCACACAAATTTTAAACAATCAATTTAGATGTCAAAACAAAGCCAGAGTTATAATTTTAGGTAGTATCAAGATATTTTATTGAAGTCATTTGATGTATTCTAAAAAAAACTGCTGTCTGAAGTTATTAGGGAAAATTAAATCACATTTTACTTCAATAAAAGGGTAATAAAAGCATAAAAAATTAATCAACACCTATAATAGAACAAATAAAGACATATAAGTCTGAATCCTTTACGTTTTAATATAGTGACCCTTCTTCTCAATAACAGCCAGTAATCTATTATCCATTGATTTTGTTGATTTTTTTTTTTTCACTTCAGCAGTTTCAATTTGCAACATGGTCGTTTTAATTGCTTTCCATAATACTACTTTGCTCTTATATTGTTTGCCATCTTCATATAATTTTATTTTCACAACTGACCATAAATTTTCGATTGGATTCAGATTAGGACTTGATGGTAGCCATTTTATTATCTTCTCTCATAAATCTTTTATGCTAAAAATAATTCATGGATAAGCTTAGATACATGAGAAGGAGCATTGTCATGCATAAATACACACTTCATTTTGAAACTGCGAGACTTGGACTTGTACCATGCAAAGAAAGTCTTGTTCATGAAATCATACCAGCACTGTTCAGTTTAACTGCTTCATTGACTTTGAATGGTCCAATAATGGTTTGGTCAACAATTCCAGCCCACATCATAATATTACCACCTCCTTGTTGCCTTTTTTTTTAGCCACAAAAGCATCTGAATTGGATGAAATCCATCCTTTCGCCCATCTATCAGGTCCACCAAATGTCACTAGAGAGTCATCCATGAAAATTACTTTAGAAAAGTCAATTTTCATGTATTTCTTGGCCCAGTTTTGAGGTTTTAAAATATATTTGCTTCAGTGAGAAGATGTTGCCTAGATTTTTTTTTTTTTTTTTTTACAGATCCCAATTCACAATGTATTTTACAACTTTGGTCCTTCTTGATTCCCTCAATTCCAGCCTTTTCAAACATCTGAGCACTGGTCAAAAGTGGTTGTTTTACTATAACTCACTTTAGTTGATGTTCATCTCAAGGAAGCAAGTCCTTGAAACCTTTTCCTTTGCTTCAAGTTCTCAATTTTCAAATTGTTCAGTGATCTCTGCAAAGCTCCTTTGATATCTCCAATGTAGACATTCCTTCACTCAATAACATTGTTATTTTCTGTTTTTCAGCAATTGTTAGATCCTTCCCTTTACCCATGTTTTCAGCATATATTATGGACAAAAAGAAAAGTTTTTATTAGATTTCAGGTCTAAAGCTAATATTAGTTTAATCTACATAATAACTTCAGTCAGTCCATTTTCATAAATTCCAAATATCTCAAAAACTAACCATTAAAAAATGGCAGAAAATTTAATTAAATATTATAAATAATATATTACTAAGGGTGGAAATGGATAAGTTTAAATTTGACAAATATTGGTTTGGAACATTTTGAGTTATTGAGGTTTATTTGACTTGCATAATAACTTCAGACAGGCTGGATATATATCTCCATTTAAATGATTAATTGAAGTTGCAAATAAACAGAAGGAATGCCTAAGTTACATGCTGTGTTAACAAGGACAACTTTAATGAGATTTACAGACACCCCCCCCTACACACACACACAGAGCCCAAAAAAAAATTAAAAAAATTCAATGGTTCAAAGTGGTACTTCAGGAAAACAGAGTCAGAAAGTGTTGTTTTCTTTTGGATGTATCTTTAAATGGAAAACTCATTTTGCAGGGCTCTACTATTTTAGAATAATAAATCAAGCTACAATATTATATTTTTGATTATCAAATGCATCCGAATATTTTAACTATCATACATCAACTTGTAATTAGCAAAGGATCTTGATACTTTGACAACTTCATTAACATTCCTGTAGCTCTTCTCTCTCCATATAACACACACACACACATATATTTAAAATGTCACTTATTCAAATTATAAAATCAATCTTTTCTCCACTTTCTTACTCTTGATTACATTAGAAAATTTATTTCGTTATGTTAATATAGGATTAACTATTCATGTTTTAATGAATGTTTTAATTTGGGATAATGTTAGGCAGAGAATTAGAAATCGATACATAACAGAAAAATGCTAAATGTATTAGAAAAAAAACTAGCCAATCTCATAAGAAAAGAAAAAGCTAATAGTAAGCAGCACCTGCAATATGAGCTTCCTAATGATTACTATAAAACTGATATTAACCATACAAGTGTTAATAAATTTAGCATACATACCTCAATTTCCCCAGACTTATTCAACAAAGCCCAGGTACTAGTTGATTCATTTTCCATTATCCAAAACCTGAAATTTCTAAAGAAAACAAAAAAAAGAAAAAAAAAATATGTCAAAACCATAAACTCAATCTATAAAAACAGATTAAAATGATTTAAAACAAAAAAAAAAAAAAAAGTAAAAACTATGAATACAATAAATATAAAGTTACTAATAAAAAAATTCTCAAGTGTTTAATTTACTGCTAAAAATATCAACACAGAACACAGCAATGATTATTTACAAACATTAACAAATCATTTCTTTAAGAATGAATATAATCAAATTATTATTGTTAATGATTCCTTCTACAATTTTTAAAGCTTACAGTCAACAACGAAATTATTTGTACACCCATCAATTTTGAATATTTTTATCCATTTCTCAGGACCGTAATACCCGCATGATGCTAAGTTTTTTTATGTTAATAAGCACAAAAAAAGGAATATAAAACTCAATTTTCAGAACAATAGGTTAAATATAAAAATTTGACAGGTGAATTATGCAAAAAAGGAAATGACAAAATTATTCGTACAGTATGAAAAATAAAAAAATTGAACAATTTTCACAATATTAATAGTCAATGGCATAAATGGTATGAATAATGTTGTCTTTTCCTATTTTGCATAATTCACCTGTCAAATTTGTTACATTTAAATGTATTGTTCTGAATACCGAGTTTTATATTTCTTTCTTTGTGCTTATTAACATATACAAAATCTGGCATCATACAGGCACATTAGATTCTGAGAAATGGATAAAAATTGATGGGTATACAAATAATTTTGTCGTTGACTGTATATATTAGCCTAAATGTTTCATTATTTTTATCATCTGAGAGCATTAGGGACATTTAGTTTTACATTTAAAAAATTTACTTTGATTAACTGCTATATCAATGTGCATTAAAATAAATTTGTCACAACTGGTTAATTTTTGTTCATTGAGTCTAACATTGGAGAGGGAAGAAAATAATTTTAAGAAAGGTTAAAATGTGACAAACAATTTGTACAATTTATGCATATGCAAGAAGCATAACAGCAACTTGGAAAGAGAAATTGGCAAGCTAAGTTCAAATTCCAGTGTGATTGTTACATTCACTTCCACACAAACGTCCTTGCAAACTATGGGTTAAATATCAGGCTTGACTTGGCTCTCTTGCACCGAGATGCCAGCTAATCTAAAAGAAGGGAAAATGAATTCAAAACCATACTGAATAGGGATGGGCACCATCAGGTCGTTTTGCCCTAGACACACCACTGCTACTATGGCTGCAGAGTGCAGAGTATATACTGGGCTCTTATGCACAATAATACTACATTGTAGTTACTGAGATAATAGACAGTGACATAGTAGTTAATTCACTAACTAGTCTAATAGTAAAAGGAAAAACACAAACTTAGACCAGCAGAAGGTAAAGAAAATTGGCAAATTTATTATGAATTTTTTCTTTTTGTATGAATTGCTTTTCAATGCCTGCTTATATTGCTCCAATTAATAAAGAGTATGTGGCTATTACATCATCTCAAAGAAAAATCAAATGAAATAAAGTTAGAAGTTTCAAGTTGCCATCTGTTGTTCTTTCATGACAGACAAAAACCTATTCAGATAATAAAAATAATTCATTGTTACAAGTACGAAAATGAAGTAATTTTTATAAATTTTTACATACATACAACTAAAAACTCTTCCTTTTCTTTTAACTTTCAAAAATAAAAACTAAAAAACAGTTTTTAATTAACCATGCACCCAAAATTTATTCGGGATAATCACTAATACCACTTCTTACATTCAATTATTTTATTTTTTTTTTTTTTGACACACATGGTCATGAAGAAGACTTTTTTTGTTAAAGATAAATTTTAAGATTTTGTCAATCTGAAATTTAAGTTGAAAAGTATGCAATTGAATAAATAAATAAATAAATAAATAATTCACGTTTATTTTAAAATCATGGTAGTTGATGAGAATCGAGTCATTTTTTCCTCTCCTCTTGTTAAAATACAAAGACAATGTGGCATCAATTCGAATCAATGTAACAATACAAAATAATGTAAACAGAATTATTAAACAAAAGTTAGAAATATGAAAAAAGCGGGTTAAACAGTAAACACTAAAAACAGTTAAGGACATTAAATGGAAACAGCCGAATATAGGGTTTTGGATACAATAAATTTGGTTAATTTTTTAATTACGCCAGTCTCTCTTATTAACCTAATCTGCATGATTAATTCTACCCTTACTTCGCTGTCAGTTGATTACTTAAGTAAAAAGAGCATAAAATAATAAGTAGGGGATAAAACGAGTATAACAGAAAGTAGTAGATATACCAAATTTTATTGCGGACTAAGAATGTTTTCTAACAACAAAGTAAAGAAGTTTTTCATGTCTTAAATTTTTAATATTCTTTTATTTTTCTTCCTATGAAAATAATTTTAACATTAACTACACATTTTCTTTTTTAAAAGTAAAACATTGTTTTTTTTATGCTTGCATATGAGGGAATAATATTTTTTTGCAGATAGTTTATTGAAGGAAGAGGAAACCAACAAAAATAAACTAAAAACACGAGGGATCTCTACGATCTTTCATAATTCCAAAACTAAAAGCTAAGTGATATCTTCAGAAAAAAATAACCAAGAAGAGAGATCATTACAATTTACATTATTAATTTGTGTTTTTTTAAAGCAAATGAATAGATTTTTTTTAAATGCCTATGAGATAAAGCGAGAAAAGTAGTAACCGCAACTAACGGTGAACATCTTGTTTTTAAATTGAGTTGGGATAGAGACGCAAGTTGTAGAATAATCCAGGTAGAAGGTAGAACAACATAAAAAAGAAAGAAGAAATACGCACATTTTTGCAAAGAATTACAAACTTACAAGAATTACTTACTTTCGTGTGTTTTCCTCAAAGAATAAGAGCTTAATTATTCAAACGTGGCAATAGGAATAAGAAGAGGATAAAACTTGAGCAAAAACTGGATGATATCGGTGCCAGAGAAATATTAATAATCCTAAGTTATGACGTGATCAGTATAAAAGAAAAAGAAAAAGAAAAGCTAACCAGTTCGTCTGATTGACGTTGGAAAAAAATGACAAAAAAAGGAACAGCATGTGGTGACCGAAATAGAGAGAAAACAAGCATCAAATCATGACCGAAATGGCTAACTTTAGCTAAGACATTAAACAAAAATAGATAGCAAAAAACTAGGAACAAGGGAAAATGGTTGCAACCGCAAATACTTTTGACATCACAAATGGAACTGATGTAATGATCTGTTGAATGGTTTATGCTGAGGAATTAAAATTAATTTTCTACTTTTATAAACGCGAAAGATGCAGTTTTGCTTATGAGTGCTTAATAGTTTAAAAAAAATAAAATGTTTTGAAATTCTGTGTTTTAAAACAATTTTCAAGTATTTTTCCCCATTGTAATACATTCTCTTCCATTCAGACGTAAAACTAAAAAATTAAAGTACCCAAGACCCTCAAGTGAGGTTCGCATGTCATTCATTAAAAACTTCAGCTGAAATAGAACTATAATTTAGTTTTAGTATCTCACCTATAGACTTTGTAGGGCTACAATAAGTTCGAGATTGAATTTGAAAGATGTGTTACTAGTGTTCACTGTAGAGTTTTAACTTGACTAAATTGTTAAATTTAAAATAAATTTAGTTAATAATAATATTTAAAAGATTCTTTAAAAAGTTAAAATCCGAATTTTAAAATGAATATTCTTTGGGGGTCGAGGGAAGAGTAATATTTATTGTGTTAAAATTAAAAATGAAAAACAAACATTTATAAAGTTGTGATAAAAAGAATTTAGAAATTAAAATTCTAGTACATCTCAAAAACTAATAATTAAACTTTGTTTGATTTTTATTTAATTATTTTTTATTGGTCCCTTTTTTCTTCTTTTTTTTTTTTAATTTCTAGACCCGACAACCTTTTTAGTTTATTAGAGCTTTAAACGCACTCTCGTATTTTATACAAAAAAATATAAACTAAATAACAAAGTGAACAAATTAAAATTTCTGATAAATCATCATAAATGGGTTTTAAGTTGAAATGTTTAAAAATTATAACTTTTTCTCTTTTTTAGCATGAAGAAGATATTGATTGACTGAGCAATTGTTTGAGGATGAAATTGAAAAATCTTCACTTTTCTTTTTAAAAGAAGTTTTTAAGACTTAAAATAAAAACAATAATGAAGATTTATTTCTATAATTTCAACAGTCGTGAGAAATTTGTCCCGGCTTTTCCTTTATGAAAGGGTTGAGGTTAAAAATTGCGACAAAAATTGAATAAAAACAGCAAGCAACTACCGCTTGAAAGATTAGAGCGAACAAACTCTCTTTCAGGCGGGCGAATAAAGAAAGACTCAACAAAACTCCTGCTCGGTGTGTTAACAATAAAAGATGTTTATTTTTACATATACAAAAAAGAAGAAAAAAAAGTTAAAAACGACAGAAAGAACGGGAGACGAAAATTCCTTTAACCTTTAAAGGAAGAAAAAAATGTTCATACAGAAAAAAAGCTTGCTCAAAATATTTCTCTGAGCGCTTAAAATTTCTTTACGCGAGTGTTGTTAAAAGGGTTACCGTTCACACAGTTTTCTTCAGAGTTCTTGCAGATCCGGAAAATGTCGGAAGATACGAATTTTGTAGGTAAAAAGAGGCAGATCTAAACTGGTATTTAGATTTAGTAGTGGGCCGAAGTTTTTTCTCGATAGCCCTTTTAGTAGGGTCCAACTCTCAGAAAAGAGAAGAGAAGCCGCTGTATTCTGCCTTAGGACAAAATCAAGAGGCTATCTCGCTAAGGGAGAGTGGAAAGGAGAATATATATATATATATACACACACGGACATGGGAACTAAATAAAGCTGACCCAGTCGTGATGAAAAAGGGACCAAAAACAAACTGGGGAGGTTGGGAATCTCAATTTGGATCATAACAAATGATGTAGCCGGGAGCAGGCCGGGAACAACACTTATTCACATTAATTAGGTACACAAAGCATGTCTAGCCTAGTCGGGGC